TGCGTTTTAAGCATAACGCTCTTACTTGGGCAGCATCATGGTTTGCCTATGTCATTGATGAATCCTGTATAATCAAACGGGCTGTTGTGGTGAAAGACCTTATTGGATAGCTGGTTTGCATGCTAGGTCAGTAATCTAGTTGCTTGTTAGCTAGGTGGGGGATAGGAGAATGGAGATTAACACTTGGCCTGAGCTTATTCCTGTGGAAAATCCTGCCTTATGCCTTACATTAATGCAGAACTTTTCATTTCAAAGTTTCATTCAGTGCTTTACAGATCAGGAACTCACTGCTCCTATCAGTGTACCGGTGTACCACTTTGAGCAGCAACATGGTACTACTACACAGTTCCTGTGTACATACCAGACCAAGCTTTGAGTTGCTTCTAAGATCTAAAAATAAGTTTTGTTTTACAATATGATCATTTAAAGGGTATCCACAGTTGTATTTCTATATTGCACCCAATATATTGAAAGCAAGCTTTTCTGTTTCCAGCAGTAGGCCACATTATTTCATATAAATAATTATAAAGCTTTAGAAAGAAAGAATAGATTAGAAAGAAATGTATTGCACATCAAGGCTGGTATACTGCTTTGACACGTTAACCAGTTTAGATCATTTTAAAACATTTGGGCGCAGGTTTTCTGCAAGCGGAGGCAGCTGAGTTACAAAATAAAAACTCCTCGGAAACATCAGGTCTCTTGACTTGGCACAGCTAGCTCTTAACCTCACTTCATGTTAGCCTCCACATGCTTTAACTTTGGTGTGCAGGTCTTTTTGTATCATTAGCAGAGCCCCAGCAGAGTTAGAGTAGCCTGTAGTCTGAAGGATGGTATGTTTCCTTGTATATGTTACCCCTTGGCCATATAATTTGTAAGCATGACATTAACTTCCTCTGTTATGCCGATGATACTCAGCTGTACGTATCAGTCAAACCAGATGACGTATCTCAATTTTCCAAGATAGAAAACTGTCTGAAAGATATTAGATGCTGGGTGGCTTGCGACTTCCTTCTGCTTAATTCTGACACAACAGAAATGCTGGAGCTTCGTCCCAAGGGTGCTAAAACTAGGCTAGCTGAATGCACCTTGACTGTTGACTGCTTCTCTGTTTCTCCCAGTATAGTTATTAAAGACCTAGGTATTGCTATAGATTCTGATCTATTATTTGGTATTCACATTAAAAATATTTCTAGAGTAGCCTTCTTCCACTTAAGAAACATTGCCAAGCTTAGGAGGCTGCTGTCTCTCCATGGCACTGAAAAATTAATCCATTAATTAATTCAAGATTGGATTACTGTAATGCTGTGATCTCTGGTTGGTCTTCGTTGTCACTAAATTAACTCCAGTTAATTCAAAATGCGGCAGCTAGAGTACTCTCAAGAACTAGAAAATCTTAACATATTACTCCTGTTCTGTCATCTCTGCATTGGCTTCCCATTAAATTCTGCATTGATTATATGTTGTCGTTGCTCACTTAGAAAATTCTGCATGGTCTTAGCCCACAATATTTGAGTGATCTTTTAGTCCCTTATAATCCTTCTTGTATACTTTGATCACAAGGAGCAGGTTGCCTAGTTGTTCCTAGAATTTAAAAAAGTCACAGCGGGAACAAAACATTTTCTTATAGAGCTCCCCAATTATGGAATAGCCTCCCCAAAGATGTGTGGGATTCAGACACTCTCAATGCTCAAATCTAGGCTAAAAACATAATTGTTTAGTCAAGCTTTCAGGTAAATAGCAAGACATGCAAACTACCAATTTCTGTTTTCATTGTCATTCACTAACACTTTATCTCTTTTCTATCCATCCATTCTGAGGTGGACTGTTTGGAGGCCCAGGTCCAGAATCCAGCTCCTTTTACCGGGCGTAAAATCAACAGCCGATCCTCTACAAAGCCCTTTCCAGAGAAATCTCAACTGAAGGAAACCAATTGAACATTCCGGACACTGTTGGACATTATCATACAATATTGTGCTTTTCCCACCATGTAATAGAATACAGACGACTCTCATATGTGTTCATTCTAATTTAACCTGGTCCCAGCCAGAGGAGGATAGTCTCCCCTTTTTCGGGCCTTGATTCCTCTCAAGGTCTCTTCCCACTTTAGTCTAGGGACTTTTTCCTTGCCTCTGTCACCTTAGGCTTGCTCACTGGGGGGTTAGGCTGGGAAATCTGTAAAGCTGCTTTGTGACAATGTCCATTATTAAAAGTGATATACAAATAAAACTGAATTGAATTGAGTTGAAGTATGTACAGATGCACAGGTCTGTTGAATGTGTTTTAAGAACTGTGTGGGGTGAGTTAAGGTGTGTGTGCCAGTGGCAGTATCACTCAGTTGATACTCTTCTCACAGCCCTTCCAGCTTTGCCTGCAGTGAAGAGCTAATGGGAAAATTCCTGGTTCCTCATTTTACTGTAGAAGGTGAAGGAAGAAAGATTGGTGGCAGGCTTCTTTCAGCTTGGAGGTTAGATTTTAGACTGTGGCTCAGGCTTCAATGTAGGTCAGCGTGTTAGTTAGGGGACTGGACTACATTAGAGAAGTAGAGAGGGGTGTGAGCTTGAAGTCGGGGGAAAATGGCACTAATGGCAGACTAGTGAAATAGGTGATTGTTACCTATTGTGAATATACTATTCCATACTGTTCCAACATTTCCATGGCAAGGACTTACATGCATAAACTACTGCTTTTCTCTCTGCTTTTAAGCATATATTGCACTGGCTGTTCTTCAGATCACCTTCTTTCAAAAAAGCTGAAGGAAGTACCGATTCTTCGTGAGACATCTGAATGCTCGCTCATTGCTTGTGATTGTCATCAGCAACCAACATGTTGAATATTCAGGTTTCCTTGATGTACCTGCAGAAGTTCTTCTTGCACCTTGAAAACTCCTCTTCAGACTTTACTTGTGGATTCTGTGCCTTATTGTACTTTAACATTTTCAGATTTTACATTACCTTGTCCACGTACTTATTCTTCAAATATAACATTAAGATAGCTTTAGTGTTGTGTCTTAAACGTAGTTATACAGTAGTACAGTATTTTAGTCAGAATGGCTGAGTGGTCTAGATAGATAGATACTTTATTGATCCCGTGAGGGAAATCTAAGGCCCTGTGTTCAGGTGGCGGTCTTCCCTGGAGGCATGGGTTCGAATCCCCCACCTGACAAAGCTTTGTGCGGTGTGGTAGCTCTATGGCTAAGGATCTGCCCCTGTGGCTGGAAGGTTGCCGGTTCGTATCCCACGGTCAGCAGAGGAATCCTACTCCGTTGGGCCACTGAGAAAGGCCCTTAACCCCAACTGCTCCAGGGGTACTATACAATGGGTGACCCTGTGCTCTGACCCCAAGCTTCTCTCCCTGTCTGTGTGTCTCATGGAGAGCAAGTTGGGTTATGTGAAAAGACAAATTCCTAATACAACAAATTGTATATGGCAAATAAAGTGATCATATATCTTATTTATTCACATACTTTGTACTTGAAATACAACTTAGGGGGAAGAAACGGGTTGACTCTATGTTTTGTAGGTGTGCACCAATCTTATTTGTCAGTTGAATTAGAAAAGCATTCAGACCTTGTGCCGTACTGTTTGTGAGGTGGTTCGTGTTAATAAAGCAAGAAGCCTGCAAGTAAAATGTGTAATAAACCAGAACAATACTTCATGCAAAAAGTAACAGCACTGATGCTCAGGATGTGAAACTACATATTAGGAGGAAGACATCACTGGGCTAGGGTGCAGATTAGCTGAAGTTGGGGAGTGAGATGGCTGCTGGCACCAATTAAAGCACATCACTGGAAGAAAGTGTGTGCTGGAGTAGGGCACTAAACTACTGTACAGATCGCCAGACTGCATTCTGAAGGGGTCTCCATGAAAACTAGGTAATTGCTGGCACTGGCATTTAAGGCATTGCTCTAATATCCCCAACATGAAGCATTCTGTGGGGTTCCTTTGGAGAGAAATAGAGCCCCTGGCACTGGGATCAATTCTGCTTACAGACTAAAAGAACTCTGTTCTCTGTTGTATGTATTTCTTATGATTGTTTAATAAATGTGAAGTAAAAAAGATCATTAAGTAATTTTTCAAAGGCTTACCATGAAATCAACTGCTTAGGTGTTGCTTTCAGTTTAGAAAATACTAAGACTTGGGCAAACAAATGTATGGTTCCCCCCCCCCCCCCAAAAAAAAAAAACCCCAATGAATTAGAATTTTAAAGGTTACAATGAGAACAGTAGTTACACATGTGGATTGCAGAGTATCTGCTAGTACAGTGTGCGATTGACTCCTTTACTCGAGTTTATTTACACAGCATTTATTCTGGATCGCATTCATTGTAGGTCAAAGAGTCAAAGTCAGCAGGGAAGTTATTTGCTCTTTACACATGTACACAAAAAAACAATATACAGTTTTTAGTACATTAACCTATATCAGTAAAATAACACACTTTCAGTTTTAAAACATTTTGATTGTCCTTGCCTTGTAAGGATTCAGCTTTTCCTTTTTAACATTTAACTGTGTTACTCAATAGTTGTAATTTTAGTGTTGTAAAGTATTGAATTATTTCATAAGAAATGCAAAGGAAATACATACCGTGTTATATTCTTTATCATTTTAAAAATGCTTTGTTGTAGATCTATAGCAATCCCTTTTCACATTCAGATGTTCAATAAAGAAATTTGTACAGTATGGACATTTCCTTGAATTGCAAATTTAAGAAAAAAGGAATCACTAGCTCTTCTCAATCAGGGTGCTAGATATGTATGTGATTTATGTTAAACATTCAAGCACATCTTGCCCTTTCTTCCTCATATATCCATCCCTCTGTCAAGATGGCGACGTTGTCATTATAATAAGTAAAGGAACAAGTAATAGGTTTATTCCATGCTGAAAAAAAGAAGAAAGAGAACACAACTTTTCGGCCGTGGAGCCTTCTTCAGGTGTGAAGAAGGCTCCACGGCCGAAAAGTTGTGTTCTCTTTCTTCTTTTTTTCAGCATGGAATAAACCTATTACTTGTTCCTTTGCAGCCTACGCATGCTGACGCAGCTACCCACCTGAATTATAATAAGTAATTCACATCTGTAAATTTTTGATGAATATAGAGATATTTTCAAAGCGCAAATATATCAGTATAAGCACTGCTTGAATTAATATTCTATATTGCAAACACAGTTAATAATTTGTTCTCTGTACATTCCTATACCATGTTATGCTGTGCCATCATTGTTATACATTGTTACTGTTATATCTATTTTCTAATTTCCCGTTAGGACTTCAGTCCTTTTGATTTACATTTTTAGGAAGCTCATCTACAAACGGTAGAGAGTCATACTTTTTCTTTCAGATGGAAAGGGTTGAATTTTCCCAAGGAAACATACATACCCATCTAATCTAATCAATCTTACATGTGTGCATTGATAGGTAATGACCCTCCCCATCACTACCAACACCTTTCTTAGCAGAACGGCTATATTGTCATGTGTCATCTGCTGGTGCTTTCTAGTCTGATGAGAAGCCAGTTCAGCAGACAGATTCCTTTTACTCAGTAAAGTGGCTTTATTACTCCACTGTGGATCACTGCCTCATTCCGATCACTTTTGTATGCTTTTCCACTGATTAATTGCCTGTCTGGAGTGTGTCGCTCATTTTTGCTTAAAGAACCCTGTCTTAAAGGAGAGCAGCCTCTGGTTTGAAATTAGACTTTGGCTGTCAGATCCATTATAGTTTTTTAGTTTTTCTTAGAAGGCTGAGCTGACTACAGACATTTGTCATAATTCAGTGTGTGGTAAATACAGTATTTGTTTGTATTTCGTACTCATTCGAAGGTATTCTAGGTTTTTGTCTTTTTCAACTGTGTCAATCAGCTCTGATTATGTACCTACTAATAAAGACTTTGGTAATACTCTTGAGATCTGAAGCCATTTCCAGGGCTGTCTCCATTCTTCTCTAACATGATTTTTAAAAATGCTGTTGCTTAGCTGAGATTTCAGTCACACCTGAGACTTTGTACTAAATAAGATGGCATTGATTCGTTAGCCAGTTCAGTTTAACATAATTTAATGTCAGTATTTTGCAAAATGTGCATACTGTAGATTAATCTTTATAAGATTATCAAGTGGATGCTCCACTATCAATTTGCAGGCTTATCCCTTTGAGACTTTGTAAATATGAAAACACAGCATCCTAATCCTTAGTCATATCATTAGTTTTGTGCATACAATAACAGACCAACACCAGAATCTTTCAAAGCGTTTTTTGTTGGGGTACTAGAAGAAACAAGTGTTACGTGTACAGGACAAATTTTGCATTTCCTTGCTGACTTCCAGTCGTTTTACAAGTGTTCTTTTTCTCATTTGGTAGCCAGGATTCCTCCTATCTGACACACACCAAACCGAGTTCAGTGAGGCAGTAAAGTTTTTCTCATAATCAGATATGCAAGAGAAGGAAATCACAATGCACTATGAGTCCTAACGGATGTCCAGTATTTATGCAGAAGCTTGTTTCCATAGGCAAACACCAGGCTGTGCAGCAGTTGTCTGACTGGGGAAAGGCCAAGGCTGAGCTGGGGTCCCCTGTGATGCACCTTGCTGAACCAGCACATTGCAGGATTAGGAAGGTGAACTAAAAACTCAGACTGCCTGCTCAAGTCCCAGTAAGCTAGTTTCCAATTTTTGTATTTGTATCCATAGGGAAAATCACACTGGTCCAGGCTCCCTGCAAGTCAGAACAGAGCAAATTGGCTGAGGTTGATTCACCTGACTGCTACGGTGAGACTAATTGAGTGGGCACCCCGTGAGGACAGGCAGCCGCAGTCAGAGCCGAACTTTGAACTTCAGCATCATCTGCTGACTGGGCTCATTAGATGAGAACATAATCTGCCTACATTTTTCAAATCCTCTGTGCCTGTCTGTGTATTACAGCGTTGGACTGAAAAAGTGATGTTCCGGAGAAGAAAATGTAGACATAGCCTTAAAGCAAAATACTATAGTTCTTTTCTTATCATAAGTGAAGCATGCTATTCACTGAACAATATGAAAAATTGCCTTACAGCTTGCAAATTCATGCATTTTCTGTCAGTTCAGTGTGCCGTTTAAATAATTAAGCTAAAGTATGATGTTTATCAAGAATAAAGGTTAGTACACAATATATTTGCATATGGCTATATTGGTTATATTTGGTAAGCAGTAGCTATTGCAGTACACTGAATTTTAAGTTTTAAAACATTGACAACTAAGATATAGTTGCAGTATTTTACAAGATGCTCAAATATTGAGGTGTGGATCATAATAAAACCTGTGTGGAAGAGGTCAATACCTAGTGTACCCACCGTTATCTCATTTTACAAATGGCATAGGACAGGCTAGCATAGAAATTGCATGAAATTCTGAAGAATGTTCTACAGTCCCGTCTGTTAGCAGGTTATTTGCTTCTGATTGTGTTCCAAACCTGTCCCACATGTGTGTAATAAAACTAAGGTCTGATAATGCAACTGTCCAGCATGAGAACTCAATCCCAGGTTGTAGCAGAAAATCATTGCAAATCTATTGCCATGTGGGGATGAACATAATCATGTTAAATGATTACATTTAAGCAGTTTTAGTAATATACACGAGATGTTCAAAATATAGATAAAATCTCAAAATATGGTTAAAATAACACTACATAATAACTGACCAGAAGATAAACCCTAAAACTACCATTAATATTCCCCTGCATCATTACCATATCACTATCAACAAGATGCTATTCACTGAATATGAAGAAGAATTGGCAATAATTGCAATGAGACGGTGTGTTCTCACCTGCAAGACCTGCAGCTGTAATTGTTGTTAAAAGTGCTTTACCAAATAGTGAATTCACAGGTCTGAATACTTATGCAATCAACATTCTTCAGTTTTTTTTTAATTCTGACATTTTACTGTAACGTATACATAAGTCTTTAGTTTGAGCTTAGGGGTTAGAATAATAATAATAATTAATAATTGCTTACACTTATATAGCGCTTTTCTGGACACTCCACTCAAAGCGCTTTACAGGTAATGGGGACTCCCTTCCACCACCACCAATGTGCAGCCCCACCTGGATGATGTGATGGCAGCCATAGTGCGCCAGAACGCTCACCACACATCAGCTATTAGTGGGGAGGAGAACAGAGTGATGAAGCCAATTTTTAGATGGGGATTAATAGGCCATGATTGGTAAGGGCCAATGGGTAATTTGGCCAGGATGCCATGGTTACACCCCTACTCTTTTTGAGAAACGCCCTGGGATTTTTAATGACCACAGAGAGTCAGGACCTTGGTTTTAAGTCTCATTCGAAGGACGGCGCCTGTTTACAGTATAGTGTCCCCGTCACTATACTGGGGCATTAGGACCCACACAGACCTCAGGGTGAGCACCCATCAGCAACCTTAGTTTTTCCCAGGAGGTCTCCCATCCAGGTACTGACCAGGCTCACACCAGCTGAGCTTCAGATGGTTGCCAGTTGTGCGTTGCAGAGTGATATGGGTGCTGGCCATTATAGAATAGAATATAATAAAATATTAGATTTGAAAAATGTAGAGACATTTTGTAACTTTACACAATGAGACGCCATAGTAAGAGTCTGAATGCTTTTGCAAGGCACTGCATAACGATTAACTGTAATTTTATCTGGACATCTGTTGATTTTTTAAATTTGTGTCCCCGTGTATAATATTTCCTTCCTTGGTGCAAGAAGCGTCTTCTTTGTGTATTTTTTCTTGAATAATCATTTTATTTCCATAGGCTGCTTTAGGGATTCCCCCCTCCTCCTGCTCATTCCTTTCCATTTCTCGCTCTCTCTCCTGTTTCTCCTTCTCCTCCTCGCTTGTCGCTCGCAGGTCCTCAGGAGCGATGACAGTTGTATTAGCAGTTGATTGCAAGGCTGTGCTCTTTTGGTTCCACAGAGACCAAGCAGAAGAAAGAGAAAAGGGAGAGAGAGTCAGAAATCAGGAGACTTGTGCTTCGTGCTGGGGAGGGTATTCTGGGGTTACAGTCTTTTTTTGCCTGCAGCAGGTCATTTTCCTCAGGCTTCTACTTCAGATCCCTGGCAGTTCCACACAGCCCTTTTGACATTATTAGCTTAATAATTATCATCTTTTCTTTATTTTCCTACACTATACTGTAGCTCTGTCCTATCCATCCACACATAGTGTATTCATTCCAGACTGTTTTGTGCAGTTAATAGGGACCACAGGGTTTGTTTTTTTCTTTTTTTATTGCCTTTGGCAAACGTGCACTGTGAGTAATAACACAGTTGGGAGTACTTGATGCCAAGGAAGAACAAAAAATAGACCTTCATAACAGATTGTATTTGTTTCTTTATTTAAGATTTCCCTTCGTCTTCTACAGACTGTGAACAGAGAGCTTTGAGGGTTTTTTTACAGCTTGTGTTACAGTTTTTTAGTTTGTCTCTGACCTGATATTCCCTTTGTGTCAGATGAGGAAATAGAGTGGTGTAGGCGTCAGAGGAAAAAAGCAATGAAAGCAATGCTTCAGATTAATCGTAGTTTTTTCTATAAAGAAAATGGATAGTATTAAGGGGTCCATTAAGGGTCCAATTTAAGTGAGTTTTGACAGCATATTTTCAGTATATCAATCTTCTTATCAAGTCTTGTTCAAGACCGATATAAGAGGTTAAACTATTACAAAGGTTATTGATGGAGATTTGTTTTATCTGCTTCTAAATCTTTTATAGGAATGTAATATTCCCTAATTGGAAGTGATGGTTTAATTTAAGAGGTAACACACAATTACATGCATTTAATACAAATACTTAACATATAATGTTAACAATGCATCCCATATAGTGTTAGACTATCTGTATGGTTAATATGTGCATAACTATATATGTTGTAGTAGTTCAGGTGGGTAGCTGCGTCAGCATGGATAGGCTGCAAAGGAACAAGTAATAGGTTTATTCCATGCTGAAATAAAGAAGAAAGAAAACACAACGTTTTGACCTTATCTATAAAAAAGTATTGTGTGTTCATGTTGACAAATCTATTAGCATCTGATAACCAAAATGGTAGGATATATATTTAAAAATGTAACATTTAAATCCAGTTATATTGAAATTGTACAATGTACTTGTAAGACCTCATTTAGAAGGTTGTGTGCAATTTTGGTAAGTACAAAAACTATATTGCTGCTCTTATTTCTTCTCTCCGGACTGCTTAGAGATACACTGCTGTGCTCAAAGGAATGTCCTAGTATGGAAACAAAAGACAAAACTAATCTTTTCTGACCTGAGCAGAAAAAAGTATTCAGAATTCTGAAAGGAATTGACAAATCAATCCATTAGACATCTTCAGACCCAACAATGAAACATGACAAGGGGATATGTGCAGAACCTGTAAGAAATTAATTTAGGTGAGACCAAGTGACATTTTGTGAACAGAAAGAACTGTGGGAGTCTGGATGCATTCTGTTATTTACAGATGCAGCCATTCAAAGTGCGAGGTACAGACACGTACCGGAGGTAATTGGCTACGGCGTCGCGCATCGTGACGCTGGATGACG